ATCATTTGAAATGCATTTTCATTGTCAAAGTATCGCTTAACATCGAGAATTATGCTTAAAAAAGTTAGACTTCCTGATAACCTTCAATAACAATTTCAGATTGCTATGAATATCGATGTTACATGTACAACGGTCATGATCATAATCAACCGTTGTACGTCGGTATTCATAACAATCTGAAACTGTTATTGAAGATTATCAGGAAGTCTAATGCCGTTTCTAAGCACAATTTTCGATGTAAGCAATATCTTGACTGTTCTAAGCACAATTCTTGATGTTAAGCAATATCTTGACGACAACCGCGTTTCAAATGATTTACAGAACAACATCTATGTAGTATGTGATACAGTATTTCATTCCTTACTCAACGTTAATGCTGAAGACCCAAAACTCGGAAAAGATCGAAACGTCTATGTTATTTAGTTTATTTTATATGTGTGCATTGGGCAATAAAATTATAATCGCAACTCTATATATATATACACGACTAACGTTGGCTCTCAGCAGGCTTTTTAACTATCATGGGTAATACCTTAAATTAGGTTACGTGACCCTATATACCCTGCAATACAGAGCCAAATGTTATCGCCATTCATATGTACTCTCTGCAATATAAAGCAAAGTATTTCCGTTATATTTATCCCGTGGCCAGACTTCTACTTGAAAATCTCTAATGTTCACTTTTCTGTAACGTCATAGAATATAGCTCGTATGAATGATAGGCGCTTTCGATTGTGGCGCTTACGAAGTCGCTTATCGGTAAGAACCCTTGTACTGCGACGCTCCTGAAATATACGTCATATGGCAGCTCGACGCGTCGTCGGAAAAGTAGGGAAAAAGTTGGCAGCGCTTCAGAAATCGGCCCGAAATGTACAACTAATTCCGAGCACTAATCTAAGACTTTTAGTCAGCAATGTAAATGAGATGATAATGACATCAGATTATACCACCTCTACAATGTAAATTGTAAGAAGTGACGTTAATATAAAGAACGGTTTGTCGTTGAAGAGCTCAGTTATTTTTCATCTGCAACATAAGCTGCACTACAGTAATTGCGAATATCAACAGCAGGTATAATCGATCATGAATATAAAAATTAAATTATAAATATACAAAATAAAGATTGGGAAGCAAGTATAAGTTAGCATAAGTTAAAAGTTACGTGATAAATTTCAAAAGTTAATAACTTTTAGATAATTTAAAATAAGTTAACTTTAGATAAATTAATTTTAAATAAGTTAATTTTTAACTAATTAATAATTTTAGAGATTCAATGATCGTAATGAGCGTGAAGCCTTGATTGTGTACGGCTATTTGCACTTCTTTCAAATTTGAAAAAAAAAGAAGATATTTTATTGAAAATAACTGTTTCTGTTAATGAAAATTTTATTTGAATAACGCGCGCGTGCAACACAGATTATTTTATAATAATTACTAATATCCAAGTAATAATTAGTATATCCCTGCTTATAAATTTTCATTGAAATCAATAGAAACTAATTAAATCTGATAGAAATGTAATGCGAATAAATCGCTTTAATAGGAAACATATTGTTAATTCATCCGATTAAAAATTAATAAGATTCAATAGGATTTCTATTTTCTGCAAGAATTGATAGATTTTTACTTTGCGTTGGTCATCAATCGGATTTAATAAAATAATTGCAATTTTCAGAATTAAATGAGATTTAATCGGTCATCCTAGTATTCAATGGGTTTTAAATAAGAGATTTACGTGATGAAGTTTAATAGAAACGCATCAAATTTCACACGAGTGGTGTTCAATGGGTTTTAATCGGAAAATTACTTCGATCGAATTCAATAGGATACTATCGATTTTCATAGCATTCATTTAATGGGTTTTAAACGCATATAAAAGAAATGATCAAATCTCATTGAAACGATGAAAACAAAATTCTGATTAAAACCGACAGAATACCATTAAAAACTGAAAAACGCATAGCCTATTATAACCGATAAAATTCATCTAAACGTGTATTGTGTGAGCCCCAATAAAATTGCATTAAATTTTAAAAGTGATCTTCATTAAGACCGTGTAAAAATGGATTGTAGGACCACCTATTAAATGTTATTGAAATTGTATCATAGATAATCCGATTTGAACCTATTACATTGTAGTGGGAATTTACCAATTCATTCTCCTTGATTTTCTGAGAAGAAAATCAATCAGAGATTGCTGTTGCGCACTTCGTATTCAAACCTATAAGAAATTTTTCAATGGGAAATTTTAAGCAGGAATCAATCTAAATTTCATACGTAATGTTTCTAATCTTTTAATATTACTATTCGGTTTTTATAATTAAAAAATGCATATTTCCGTATAAAAAATACGATAACTTCGGTATATACGCCGCTGCTAAAAAAACAATTACTTTAAGTATTATTTGCTAGGTTGAAGGTAAATTAACTACATCAATAAAAACTTTATACTCTCTATTACTATAAAAAAAAGTATTTGGAAATATTCGTATTTTTACATTAAAAAACTTTTAATAATCCTTCCATTTTTGCAATAAATTCCACAGAGGTGGGCTATTTATAGGAAGAATGTACGACGCATAAAAAAATTTATAACTGATGCTAAAAATAAGACACAATTATAAAGTGTGTTTACAAAGTTTTATTGAGAAAAAAAATTGTAAATATATATGAAGTAATCAATAAAATTAAAATATTTTGCATTATTACAAATAATATATGTGTTACAAGTAATACGATATGAGGTACATATTTCATGTAATGCATTTATTGCACTCAACGCACTAAATTCGCACTTTGTATTCGTTGGCCATAAATCTCGTCCATTAAAAATCGTATGTCCGAAACAAGTAGGATATATAAGACATAAAGCTGAGCAAAAAATATAAAAAAGCTAAGCACTTGTATTTATATTACCCCATTATTTACTCTTTTCTAATTATTTTATGTGGATCAATATAGAGGAGAATGTGGTATAATGGCCAGTGTAGATATTGTGGCCTTCCTTAATATCTCCGCTATTATATAAGGAATCCTAATAATTTCTTGTCATTAGAATTATTTGTTCAATAGCTCGCCGTTACACCATGACTAATATACCAATAATCAATAGCCAGCACTTATTATAACGCATTTTTATTTTAAAGTACATATTTCGAAATGTTTCTAAAATACATTTTAGCATTTAATTACACTTACTTCCTCATTTTTCTTAAAGTTGAGCATATTGTCGCACGAATGTATATACCTGTATTTGAATGTGTTGTTTGCTATTTAACATTTTACTGAACTGTATATGTTTTGAGTTATGCAAATTTAAACAATAGTATAGTGATTGATTACTCACGGCCTCTTTTTGAAGTTTTTATATCAAAATAATAATTTTTTTAATCAATTGTAGCTCTACTGTTAAGAGGGAGAGCATTCACGCAAAAATCAACTACCAGTTATTTTTCATTAAAAATTTTAAAAATATGTACTTTTATATTATTTTTAATGCTGAATTTAATGGTGTAAAACTAAATTAATAAAAAAATTTTTTTTCCATTTTTTGAAAAAAATTTGACAAGAAATAATTACATCGTAAAATCCATATCCTTATTTTTTGGATATCCCTTATATAATATGTAGGAAAAAATGAGTCAAAAAGATAAACTTTTCTCACTGTTAAAAAGTTATAGTTTTCCTTAAAAAATAAATTTTTATTTTTTTAATATCCGTATAATTAACATTGCATCTCGCTGATGATCTCTTTATATAATATAAATATAACAATATAAATAGTTACGATCCGATTCACACTTCGACTTACGTGAGCACCATTTGTCATTGTACAGATTTTAATAATCAACAAAAATGAAATGTTATAAATAGCATACTCGTATCATTAATCGTCTAACTGTAAGTCAGTTAGTTCACTCTGAATAACTAAAATTTAAAGTATATTACAAATATTATATAATTGTAAGTATGTACAATAGATATGTTAATTATTTATTAGTCAAAGTATGTTGTAATTAATTTTTAATAAGATAATTAAATTTATTCAGTCACGTAATATTATTTTATGTACATTTATAACTAGTTGTGTATTTTTAGTTCCGTGAAACTCTCGAAATATCACAATCACACAAATATTTTTTGTTCCAAATCTTCATATATACATTTCATGTTATGTTTCACAAATTACAAGTACTTTGTGTTAAATACACGGATATGAAATAAAAATCTATTTTTCAAGAAAATCTTTATAACAGCGAGAAAAGTTTAACTTTTTGACTCATTTTTTTTCTACATATAATATTATATAAGGGATATCCAACAAACAAGGCTATGGATTTTACGATGTAATTATTTTTTGTAAAATATAACTGGAATGCCATAATACCACCTTCTTTTCTATGTATAATTGCGTTACTTATATTGACAAATCGATACAACTGACAGTAATTTTATTATTATTAACAGTAAAAAATTCAAATTATAACACACTAATATAACATAAAGACATTTAATAAAATTATTTTGCGCAAATTATCTCCACTTCTTCTATTTTTTGTATGAGTTTTGCAGCATAACTCCCATGTGGCGTAAATACTGGATGTTATACTGTGGAGTTATTCGATAAAAGGAAATAACATACTTCTTCAGTAATTTATATAAATTTATATTACAAATAATACATTAAATTTAATCGATAATTTTTATTGCTTCTTTTTTTGTGTAAAATGGCGTAATTTCAAAAAATTATATACAATTTTAATATGAATGATGCTCTTATAAAATTAACATTTACTTTAATTTAGTTAACCTATGATTAACGCGCGCGCGCGTAACTTTAATTAAGTTTTTCGTTTACATAAATTCTAACAGAAATAAATTAATTTTATGGATAATTAACTTTAACTTAATTCAGTTGAAAGAAAAATATATTTAATCTTGCATGAAATAAATATACATAGTATTTTTCTATATCTAGATTATTCGAATATATAAAAATCATGGATGGAAAAGAAACATATGAACATTGGAATGATATTGATTCCGGTGAGGAAATCGTTATTTCTGGCATTGCTGGCAGATTTCCTGATTCAAATAATATGAAACATTTTAAAGAAAATTTATTTAATAAAATTGATCTTGTAAAAGCAGATCATAACCGATGGGAAATAGGTGATTAATTCATATTTATGATTATTAGATTATTATTTTAACAATTTTTTAAATTTAATCAAAACACCCCCTAAATTGGTTCAATATCTAAAAAAAAAAATAATAATACCAAATTTTTTTTAGATTTTGTGAACAATTTTAAGTCTTGTTTTATAAAGTAGGGTAAATGCCTAACCTCGGTTCGCGGGAAAGAAGTCAAGGGCTATGTAGGACTTGCGCTCACTAAAACCCCCGCCGGTATCCTGTCTTAGGCCCTGGTGACGCGACCTGAGGGTGCCCCGGGCACGCGTGCAGTAGAGTCCCTTTAATAAGTCACGAAATAAGAGCGAAAGGACGCCATTGCCAGATATCGGTCGAAAGCAGCACAAATAACGCGCGTGCCATTCAAAGTTTAAATAAATAATCATAATAAAATGAATAAAACAATACACTCCTGCAATTTTCTCCTGAAAGGCACTTTCCATGTCTGTACTCTGCGTAACAACAAATACTGTTTATAATTCTATCATAGTTGACATTTCCAGCGCCTCCACTACTCGGTTCCAGGGGAGGGTGTTAAAAGCGTTGACTGTGTCAAACGACACAGTCATAACTATCCTCTCGTCCGACACTATGGACGCTACGAGGGCCCGAATCTGCCGAATAGAGTCGACGGTCCTCACGGAATCCATACTGCCTTGGTGATAAATCAAGGCTTTCCTGGGTCAGGTACCGAAAATCCGACCAGTGATAACACGCTCAAAGAGTTTGCCAGCATCGTTCAGTAACCAAATCGGCCTGTAGACCTATGGGGACTCCGCTGGCCAGACTACTTTTCCATAAAAGGACCCAATCTTGTCCTTTTCCAATCTGAGGCAACTGTTAAAAATTTGCCTCAGATATTTTCCTATTTTGTCCGAAGCCAAGGCCCAGATATTGCCCGGAATTCCGTCCGGCCCTCAAGCGACTCTTCAGCGATGGCCTAGGTCATCTCGTCTTTCGTTATCCCCAGTTCCCCAAGCAAACAAAAATGGATTGAAATGAATTGAAATGGATTAAAATTTTCAGAAATATTGATTCACGAATGTTAAAATAAATGCTTTTCAATCCTGAATGCATTTTTATTCATTTATAGGAATTGTATGGAGCGTATCTCTTTGCCTTTCAATCTCAAAATAATATTAGCTTTTTCTGTGCATTGAATATTGTTCAATTCAAAATTTTGAATAGAAAATGCAGTTTTTCAATCCAATTGAATCTAATGGAATCCAATTGAATCCAATTAAATCTAAAAAAAAAGTATTCGCTATTTAAAATACGCTTAATAAGCTAAAATACTTAAAATAATTATTTAATAATAATTCGGATAGAAAAAAATTTCAACCCATTTTAATCCATTCTCGTATGCTGGGTCCTCTCGCCAGTCTTGCCGGGGGCTGGAACAATTTTAACCAGTGCTTCTGGGACATTGGTTAAAAATTAGAATGTCAGCCAAATTTTGTCTACAAAGGTATTTTTCTGCCTACCTTGTGCTCCGGTGGCATGGATTAAAATTGTTCAAAAAATCTGAAAAAAATCTGGTATTATTTTTTTGAAATATTGTGAACTAGTTTTGGAGATGTCCTGATTAAATTTCAAAAATAACAACTCTAAAACAATCACTCTAATCGTTATATATTATACTTTTACAATTATGCTTGTTTGCTTAAAACAGTATGTGCCACTCTTTCTGTACTAAACATCATTACATGTTTATTAGTGAATAAAAAAGTATACCTCAAATTAAAATTTCATACAAAATAATAATCAAAGAACATAAAATCTTTATGTAAATATATCTACTTTTAGAGCATGCAGAATTTTCACGCCGTATGGGTACTGTCAATAATATAGAAAAATTTGATGCGGACTTTTTTGGATTGTCTTTTGAGCAAGCACACACGCTTGTACCCGAAGCAAGAATGTTATTGGAACATTCTTATGAAGCAATTATCGATGCGGGGATCAATCCAAAGCAATTACAAGGAAAAAATACTGCCTTAATTATAGGGGCATCTTGTATTGAATCACAAGAAAGGTTCATGTTTAAGGACATTCAGGTAAAAAAAGAGAGAGAGAGAAAGAGAGGGAGAGAAAGAGAGGGAGGGGAGGGGGGGAGATATATACAGGGTATCTCAAAAATAGGATAGGAACCACATTGGGAGCGTAAAACGGGTTCAAGAATAAAAAAGTCTTATACCATTTTGAGACATTCGCTGTTTTCGAATTAAAAAAGGAAACGTCTAAGCCAAAATGCGGTGAAGTTGCGTCACGCGAATTCGTAGCACGGCCCATCGCGCTTTATTTGACAGCGCCGCCGCTCCCTTGGGAAAGAGGTGATAGTTGCTTCAGGTGAAAGTCGTGCGCCCCCAAACAAAGAGGGAGGTGGAGTAGAAATTAAAATTTTCATTTTATATAGCAGAAATGCAGACGTTATTTTTTAAACTTCTTTTGTTTATAACTATTAACTTTTTAACAAGTAACGTCCGACGGTTAAAACTTTCTCAAAGTCACTCAGGATCATGATCTTGATAACATGTCAAGGTCAAAGTTATTGAGGAGAAAGTAGTTCAGCTCCCCTAAACTACATATTTACCGCTAATTTACTTTTTAAATAAAATATGGATAGCTAAAAAAGTCTTCTTACCAAATTGCTAAAAACCGACTTTTTCCCTAACTCAATATGTAACATATTATGTTATATGTTATATATAAAAATGTTACATAGTAAAAAGAAATGATTAAATCTACTAAATCTGTTATTTATTTGCGGAAATTGCAATGGTAAATGTTTTGCAATTAGTTAAGAGATCAGAACGTTTTTGGATACCATAAATCTGCAACGGCAAATATGATTTCGTACTGCTTGGATCTGAAAGGACCATCTTATACCATCGATACAGCATGCAGTTCTAGCCTTCATGCTATGGCTGTTGGATATGATTATATCAAATCAGGAAAATGCGAAGACGCAATAATTGGAACAGCACAATTATGTCTTTATTCCATGATAAATCTGCAATTCGCTCGACTTGGTATTATGAATAATTATATTTTCTATTTTTATTAAAATTTAGTAGTCTCATAATAAGCATGACAAATAGAGAATCATTCAAACCACCTTCCTCATTTATAAAAATAAATAAACTACAATCAGTTGTATAATATCGATAAAAACATTTCTGACATAGTATAATATTTAAAAAACTAAAAAATACAATATCAGAAGATGAAAATGATCATTTAGATTTAAACATAATCCATTATATAATACACACGTTCAAATATGTTTACTATACTTCTTAGGTGTTTTGGCACCCAATGGTTGTTGCAGACCATTTGATATCGGTGCTAACGGTTATTCGCGTAGCGAAACAATTGCAGCAGTATACCTTCAAAAAGCAAAAAATGCTAAGAGGATTTATGCCATATGTCCGCATATTAAACTAAATAGCGATGGTTACAAAGAAGAAGGAATAACATATCCTTCATCACAAATGCAATGTACCTTACTAAAGGAATTTTACGAAGAATGCAAAATACCAACATCTTGTTTGGATTATGTCGAAGCACATGCTACTGGCACCAAAGCTGGTGATCCACAGGAAGTTGAAGCTATCTATAACAGTTTGTGTAAAAATAGAGAAACTCCATTAATGATCGGTTCCGTGAAATCTAATCTCGGGCATTCCGAGTCTGCAAGTGGTTTTAATCAGATCGCTAAGGTAAAATAAATAATTTCCAGTTTTATCTATTATTATAAAGTTTACTTTTCTTTGATATAATTTGATTATTTGATAAATTAATAATTTTTCTATATTACTGTCTTTTTAACAAAATTTGATTTATTTTTCAATATAGTCTTCTTTTAAAAAGTCTGCACTGATTTTTTTTCTCGAACTGTCCATGTACATAATGTATGATTAATCGACATTTTACAAATTAATTAAAATGGACACTTTAAAACTGTTATTATCACTATTAGGTAATAATAGGATTCGAAACTGGTTTTGTTCCACCAAATATCAATTATACATCGCCAAGAAAAGATATAGATGCCTTATTAAATGGGAGCGTTCGTGTCATCCAAGAACAAATGCCACTCAAAAACGGTTATGTAGCAATTAATAATTACGGTTTTGGAGGATCGAATGCTCATATGTTATTGAAGTGGAATTCCAAACAGAAAATTAATAATGGAGCACCAAATGATGACTTACCTAGACTTGTCATATTATCTGGACGTACTGAAGAATCTGTGAAGTTATTTTTAAATGATGTTAGTTTAGATTTTTTAAAAATATTTCGATATTATTTTTGATAATTAGAAACATTATGTTTAATTTTAATTTTTAAAACTTTATTATTACAGATTGCTAACCATCCAATAGATGTAGAATATATTCGTCTGTTACACGATATTCATGCAGACAATATAAAGGGCCATCCATGGAGAGGGTATATAATACTGAATTCTTGCCAACAAAATTCAATAAAGGAAATTCAAAATTATGAACGCGTCAACAGACCTGTCTGGTTTATATTTTCAGCCTTAGGTTCGCACTGGCCAGGAATGGGTACATACTCGATATTTCATATTTTATTAATAAATCACGTATCACTATTAAATGATATAATTTATAAACTAAAATCTTAGGTCGAAATTTATTAAAGTTCCATGTCTTTGCAAAAACGATAAGAAAGTGCAATGATGTTTTAAAGCCGTATGGTATAAGTATCATGGACATTATAACAAAAATGGAAGAAAACATAAGCGAAAACAGGTTAAACATTTTTCTTGGAATCGTCGCCATTCAGGTAAAGAATCCATTATTTTTCATATGAGGAGCAGACTTTCAAAATGCGTTTCAAAATTTCATTTTTTAATTAGAAGTAGTGTTCAGTGTTGAAGGACTCATATTATAAGCTACTCTGAGATGTTCAGAAACATTTTTTTCATCATTAATTTACATACTGAAAAAACGTAGATATTTCAAAGTGCACTATGTTTTTTAACTGAAGATAAACAAAACGCATTTCTCTAACATTTTTAGCAATTGTTTTGCAATTTTGTTTAATATTTCACACTTTCCTATTGGCATATTGTTATTTTCTGTAAAGTGCGTAATTTTTTTGTATGCGTAATTTCTTTCTTCGTTTTCTGAAAATTAAAAATTTTTGACAAAACGCGTTTTCAATATCTGCTCCTCATATATGAAATATTCTTTTACAAATCGAATACCTAATATGGGGTAATATTTTTAATTTACTGCAAAATTTTTTTACGCATTTCCTATATAAAATAAGCCGACACGTATTTTCGCAATTTTGTTTTTGATCAATATTTTCGAAAATACGGAAGGTTTTACGTTTTCAAAACTCGCCAGTTATACGCTTCTTAAAATCGCGATAACTCCACTTCTGTTCATCCTACAGAGTATTCATCCAAATTAGACTTATTTTTAATATAAAATAATTATCTACATTTACGTATTCATTATTATTATTATTATTAAATTATAATTATTATAAACAACACAAATTAAAATATTTAAAGTCATTTTACTGCTCAACCAGCAAAATAAAAATTTTTTAAAAATACTATTGTATTTCTCGTTAAATTTTCTATAAAAATCGTACTTTTTTAGCATAGTTTAGTCATCATTTGATATTACCTGCGTGGAAAATATTGAGTTCCGCGACGCGGTGGCGAGCAGGTACTTATTAATCTGATGCGTCACCATCGTACTGCATCTGTGTGTGAAAAACTAAAAAAACCTAGACTGTCTTTCAACAAGAAACCGTAGACATACAAAATAGACCCAGCATTAGCTATATCCCTATAGGCACATACTATTATTTAATATTTAAGTAATATTAAGTAATATCCTCGAAATACTCTACTGTACCTAACGTTTCTTCAATAGCAGAAAAATTCAAAGAAATTTTTCAAAAAATAGAGAGTAGTTCGTTTGACTTACGTAGGAATTAATAAACTTAACACATCCTGATACATCATAATAAGAGCACAAAAGGACAAATTGCCATCACTATTTCATTCTAATATGGTATACAAAATTAATTGTCAAAATTATGATGCTTCCTATGTGGGCCAAACAAAACGGTTATTGAAGACATGTATTAAAGAACATCAGAACTACATAAATAGAAACACCACACAACACTCTATAATAACAGAACATAGAATTGAGCACAATCATGATTTCGATTAGAATGACATCAAAATTTTAGATAAAGAACAAGGGTTAAATAAAACATTAATTTCGAAAGCGATTCATATAAAAAAAAAACAAAAAAACGGAATTAATATGCAAAATGATACGGAATTATTGAATTTGCTATATAATGATTTAATCTAGAGAAGATGGAAATGCTCTTGTTTTAGAAATTATAAATTTGTAAAGTCGATCTTATGTTGGTATTTATTTGTTTCCATGTTTTATAAGATATAAATTTGTATTGTCGAGATTGCGTTGATATTTATTCTGTTTAATTTTAATATTTATAAATAACTGCATACGTGAAACGTCCTCTTACACGCTCTCAACTTTATTATTATATAATTACATCGCGTTATAACGGATCATCGTTATGCTAAGTACAATGTAAGTTTTATCCATTTAAAACAATCAATTTTAATACTTCGACTACGATTAAAAGTTCATAAATCTGATCGTGCAATCTCCACGCGGTACACCTTCAGTGATGCTGATATGCCGGTGATACTGTAATTTTCAAATGCCATAACTCGTAAACTACATAACGCAGAATTAAATCAATTATATAATATTCCGAATATTATTAATGTCATAAAATCGCGTCGATTAAGATGGGCAGGTCACGCGGCGCGTATGGATGAGAATCGAATTGCATATAAAGTACTAATTGGTAAACCGGATGGGAAAAGACCATTGGGTAGACCAAGACGTAGATGGGAAGATAATATTAGAATGGACCTTAACGAAATGGGGTACGAGGGTCACAAATGGAGGGATCTGGCTCAGGGACGGGAACAGTGGCGGGATTTGGTATTTGCGGCAATGAGCTTTCGAGTTCCTAACGCCTAATAATAATAATAATAATAATAATAACTCGTAAACTTCTTAAGAATAAAAGGCTTGTAACGAGTTCTGGCAACGTCTCAAAGTTAGCTATAAAGACATGCTATGAAAAATAGGGAATTTCGTTTAAGATTTTTGTGTTAACCTTGAAAGCCCTTTCCAAGGTCATTCCATGGTTAAATTTATATCATCATAATAACATCTAATAACTTATTGAAAACTCTATTACATTTATTTCAAACATTTTTTAAATAAATTAATATTCTTTAGATATTAGCCGTTCTAGAACTTTTACTGTACTACTATAACATTAAACCTACGACTTATATGCTCTTGCTATTTTCCTTAATTTATATCTTACTGTCAACTTTTACTGGTATAAAGGATCTTCATTAACTTATTGTACAAACTGAGATGGTCCTTTGTAAGGTCAAGCATCACGGAAACCCACTCGATGTTCCGGTTGTCATTTTTATTACAATATTATACAATAACATTGATACTTTAGCAACGATTTTCACTGTGACGTAAGACCATAAGTTATATCATATTCGAAATACTCTGGGTATCTCATATTACGATTTCCACGCCATACGGTTTTACCATCATCAAATCTAACTTCTATAATTAAGCAATTCATATCCTGTATTTTTCTATTAGTATTACTCTTACTATATTATTCTATTACTAGATGAAAAATGCTACTATTGCCAAATATTTACTTTTTTTTTATTAAATAAACAAGATTTAAAGGCTCATCTCAATAAGACTTGAAAACATCCAATTTCTAAAATCTTTTTTTGTAATAACTAAAACATTATCTAATAATGAATTTGTCACTAAATAATTTTCAATCCAACAGCAATAAATTTATGGTGGAATAGATAGCGTTTATTAGTTTACCAGAGACATTGGTATCTCATATTAGGCGCCTATCTCATAATAGGGGACCTTCCTCTATATAAGGATCAATAATATTATACATATTTGTAAATATAATAGAACACGCTTTTTAATGTTGTTATTTTCCATAAAAACTAAAATAAAATCAATTATTTCATCACATTTTATTATTATAACAATAATAAGAGTATTATAATATATAGTGTTTATCTATAAAATTATTTGTACACATTGTAGATTGGCTTAGTAGACCTCCTAACATCTTTAGGAATTACACCTGATTACATGATTAGTCACTCTACCGGTGAACTTGGTTGTGCATACGCAGATAAGTGTCTCACTATTGAACAAACTATTTTATCAGCATACTTCATTGGTTTGGCATGTACCGAAGGAAAAGTAATTCATAGCTCGATGGCGGTTGTCAATACCAATTACGAGCATCTTAAAAATATATGTCCAGCGAATATTGAAATAATATGCTACAATAGTGAGAACAGCAACGTCATATGTGGACCAAAGGAATCCATAGAAGAATTTATGAAAACATTACAGGTAGGATTACAATAGATCTCATATAAATTAGTGGATAAAAAATACTTAAGTTTTTAAAATATTGAAAAGTTAATTTTATATCACAATTTACTGCAGCTGCATGTGTTACATTTTTTAATAATCAGGTCAACAATATTTACGTGAAGAAGATCAACTGCAACATACCGTTTCACAGTTCTTACATCGCATCCGCGGAAAGTCAGCTTTTGCTTAGTCTAAATAAAATAATACCATGCCCCAAAAAACGAAGTTCAAAGTGGATCAGCACTTCTATACTTCGCACCGAATGGTTTACTTCGGCATCAAAGTTATCGTCAGCGGACTATCACACACGAAGTATATTGAACACAGTCCTCTTTTCACAAACAACGGAACTAATTCCAAGTAACGCTGTGGTCATCGAAATCGCACCAGACGATGTTCTGCAGCACGTTTTGAGAGAATCCCTACATCCAAACATAACGAACCTTGTATTAACTCGACGCGCCGAACAAAACATTGATATATTTTTACAAGGAATTGGAGAGTTGTATAATTGTGGTTTACAGCCACAAATTGCCAAATTATACCCACCAGTGCAATTTCCAGTTGGCCGAGGAACTCCTATGATTTCTCCATCAATCAGGTAGATATCATTGTAATCGTAATTTTGATGACGTCTAAATAAGAAAACAACATGAAAACGTACGAGACTAATGTAAGAAATTGAAAAATAAACTTTTCAAGAAAACGCAAAGGAAAACCACGGAGTTACTCTCTTGCCCGTTCGAAGGTTAAATAATTATATTTTTATTCTTAATTTGCTCGAAAGTCCTAGTTCATTTTTGTTTTTATATAAAAAAGTATGTATGTATGTATGTATGTATGTATGTATATATATATATATATATATATATATA